TGGAGCCCGAGGTGCTGCTGGACGGCGAGCACGACATCGACGCGTGAGTTGGCGCAACGCTCCCGGGGTGATAGGCGCAGCTTGGCAGGACGGTTTTTGGGGTCGCCGCGCGTCGTTCGTGCTGCCTGCCTGCAGCCAGTGACCCAATATTACCGGCTGCAAGCACGAGGTTGTGGGCAACCAGCCTGTGGAGGGTTCGTGTTCCAGTCCAGCCTTGTCTTCAGGCACTCACGCCCTGGCGCCGCACACCCATCCCACCCTGCGCAGCTGCCTGGAGGTGCAGGAGGCCATCTGGGCTGAGACCTTCAAGTACCTGGCCGACAACAAGGTGCTGTTTGAGGGCATCCTGCTCAAGCCCGCCATGGTGACCCCCGGCGCTGACGCCAAGGTCAAGGCCTCCCCCGAGACCGTGGCCTCCTACACCCTCAAGATGCTGCGCCGCCGCGTGCCCCCGGCTGTGCCCGGCATCATGTTCCTGAGCGGCGGCCAGTCCGAGCTGGAGGCCACCCTCAACCTCAACGCCATGAACCAGAGCCCCAACCCCTGGCACGTGTCGTTCAGCTACGCGCGCGCCCTGCAGAACAGCGTGCTCAAGAGCTGGCAGGGCAAGCCCGAGAACCTCGCGGCCGGCCAGGAGGCGCTCCTCAAGCGCGCCAAGGCCAACAGCGACGCGCAGCTCGGCCAGTACGACGCCAGCGGCGAGAGCGCCGCCGCCGGCGAGCGCACCTACGAGAAGGGCTACAAGTGAGTCTCGTGGTCTTGGTGTTTTGAGAGGAGGGAGGGGGGAAAGGTGCCCAGGTGGAGCCCTGCCTGTGTCTGGCCCAGGCAGTTGATGGCGATGAGACTGATGCCGGTCGCAGCAGACCCTCCTGATGTCCCCTCTTGCTTGTGTGATCCCCACCCGCTACAGGTACTGAGCGGAACTCACAGAGGAGCACCGTTGGTGAAGCAGGAGGCGGCGGCATGGCAAGGCCGGGTAGGGTAGGGCGTTATCACCCTCCCTTGATGACCGCGCTGTTGCTGTCGGTTGTGCCACCACGCACACACATATACGCGCGATTTTGCACGAATTGACAGCGCATCATATTCTACCCATACAGCAGGTGTAATTGACATTCGCTGCACGCTGACGCTGGTGAAAGCATGAGAAGAGTGTCTGTAGCAGAGCAGCACCAGTGGTGTTCTCCTGTATCAAAGCTATCGGCTATGTGAGTGCTAGAGGCCGGCCAGCAGCATCACAAAGTCCAAACATGATGATTGACCATGAGCAGTTGCTGACCAGATCAGCAGGCTTGCAAAAAGTAAATGAACCACAGATTTGTCAAGACATATGGCTTGTCCCTCTTTTACAAAGCACGTGGGTGACAAGTCAGGCTCACCTGGTGTGCATGGCACCTATAGGCATGTTATGTGTGATACTCCAGGGAGTATCACCTGTGCTGTTCCGTCCTTTGACATGTTGCCGCACTCTGGCAAAATCTCTGGCTGTTAAAAGGTTGCAAGCAACCACAGACGACGGTTCAGCATGCTCCTACAGGGCACACCAAAGTTGATATATCCTGTTGGCAACAAGCAAACTAGGAGCCCCTCAACATTGCCTCCATTGAAGATCCAACTAGTCTTGCCGGCAAGCACATGACTAAAAGTTACTCGGTGGACTTGCTGCGCAGCCGGTGCCATGTGTACACACCCCTTCGCCAGGCAGAGGTAACATGTTGCATGTTAACTGGTTTGTGTCTCAATCCGTATCTACTACTCTACGATTCAGGTGCCTGGTGCGAGTTCGAAAAACACTGACAACCACGTGGTAGACTAATGTGAAGTGGCGCCTCACTTGCCGCCCATCTTGAGCCACTTTGGGACCTTTTTACCGCCCTCCTCACCCGCTCCCACCCCTGCTGCAGTGGACGCCCGCCGCGCCTCGGCAACTGCACGCTCCCGCTCGCGTGCAGCTGCGGCCTCCTCTGCTGCGCTCAGGCCCCCTTTGCCACGAGTGCCGTCTGCTGCCGCGCGAGCCGCCAGTGCGCCGGGCACCACGTCGCGCATCAGCGCGGCGACCTCGGGCCGCAACCAGCCGCCAGGGGCAGGGGCGCCGCCCTGCTGCTTGGCTGCGTCCGCGCCGACGTGCACGTGGGCCGCGGGCACGAGCTTGAGGTCGTACAGCGTGGCGGCCATGTCCCGCTCCCTGAGCACCACCTTGGGGGGAGCGGTGTACAGGTAGAGGGCGGCCGCCACGGAGGGCGCCGCCACGGCGCGTGCGAGCGTGGCCAAGGCACTGGCGGGCTGCGTGGCGGCGAACTCGGCCTAGTGGAGCACCAGAGTGTGGGATTGGGACAGCACGAGGATACGGCATGTCAGCCAAAAGGAGCCGTCAGGCCTCAGACAGCCGTGCATTGCTGGCAGCTCAATCACAACCAGCGTCGCATTGGCTTCTGGCCACCTACTGCATCACATCCTAGGTCGCCCATCCCCTGTTCCCGCTTCTCATGCTCCCCCTCGCCGTCCGAGTTCCCACTATTTCTAGCTCCCCCCTCCCCGCTGTTGTGTCTCCCTCGCCGCAACACACTCAACAATCACACTCTCATGCCAAACTCTCTCAGTCAATACACAAACACACACCAAATTCCTCTAATCCACGCGCACGCACGCGCACGCACGCGCACGCACGTGCACGCACGTACGAAAGCATGCACACACACACAGCCACACCAACAGCTAACCGCAAGATGTCCACAGCAAAGCGACACCCACACATAACACGTGAGATCAGGACACTCGCCTGCACTATTGAGCCATCTGGGAAGTGCAGCCGCACAGGCACCGGCCCCATCGCGTTGGCGCGCGACCGCGCCTGCTGCTCCCGCAGTGCACGCGTCAGCAGCTGGGACTCAGCGGCGGCGCGCTTCTGCGCCGCGCGCGCCACCTCCGCAAAGTCATCAGCTGTGAACTCGAAGAACTCGTCGGGCGGGTCTGAGGCGGCCGATGCCGATGCATTCCTGCAGCAAGGGTAGTTGGCAGGGGGGGCTCTGTGAGGTGGGCGTTGGGTACGAGCACACAGGGATGGCAGGGAGGTGGCCGCGGCTTGCAGTGCGGGCAGCAACACAGCACAGCGGCAGTGTCTTCAGGCCAGGCGTGCATCAAGGCACAACATCATAGTTTGGCGGTCTCACCCTCGTGCCGCGGCCGCGGCCTCCACTGCGCCCTGGCTGAACACCGCAATAGGTGCCGTGATGCCCAACGCCGTCAGCGCAGGGCTCGCAGCCCAGCCCTCTGGCAAGGATACACTGCCGCTGCCGCTAGTGCTGGGAACCGGCTGCGGCTGCACCTCCTGCTGCTGCTCCTGCTGCTGCTCCTGCTGCTGCCCCTGAAGCTGCTGCGACTGCTGCCGCTGCTGCTGCTCCTGCAGCTGCGCCGTGTCTGCCTGGGGAGTTGCTGCGTAGAGCTCAGGAGCAGCTGGATTTTGCTTGAGAGCCGCCGCCGGGGTGTTTGCTGTCACACCTGCAGCGGCCCCTGGGATGAGGCAAATGGTGGGTGTAGCTTCCTCAGATTCAGTGCCCAGCGCAACAAACTGAGCAAGGCTCGAAATGCAGTGGGTGGCAAAATCAGTTGGCCGTACTGCAGCGGGTATTGGGAGTTGTCCCATGTGGCAGTTTTTGGACGGCTCTACACGTTCGCACGCCACATGGTTCGACGCATGTGCATGGGCGTTGACGGCAGCACTGGTGCGCCACCGCTCACCACGAACGACATCCAGCCGGCTGCCCGCAGGGATGTTCAGCAGTCGGAAGGGCGTATCTAAGTCCACATGCTGCTTTTTGTTGTACAGCACCTGAGCGGTGGCGGGGTCCACCGGCGGGCGCCACTTCGCGGCCGCCTCCACTAGCGCTGCTCGTAGGGTCGCCATAGGCCCGATCTTAGCGACGTGCTTCTGCTCGGGCGGCCCAAGGTAATGAAATGTCACATTCGACGCCATCCTCCTTGCAATGAGCCTAGGTACGCAGAGGCTAGGTTGGGGGATGAGCCGAGACACACTGATTTCTTTCGTAGATCAAGAATGACAGATGATCTTGGCTGTATGATATGTGATACAGGACGATGCAAAACAAGCAGGCCGTTATGATACCGCAAACTTCTTGCAGACTGCGGCCCCTTGAAAGTAAAGAACAGCAGGCGCAGTGCAGCAACACCTGCACCTCAGCTTCTCATCACGGCAGAGTGGTTTATGTGGCACGAACGGTATCAGATCACGTTGTGTTAATCGTTTTCAAGACTTAAGTATAAGCTACACGGTCGTGAAAGTCCGTCCGAGTGGCCTCAAGCGAGGCATTAGATCACAGTATGACCTCCGCAGCGGGGCTGCTCACGCTGCTGGAGGAGGACAATGACACTCTCAAGCAGTATGCTCTAGTCAATCTGGACAAGGTCGTACATGACTTCTGGTTCCAGATATCGCCATCGATCGCCTCCGTAGAGGCCCTCTACGAGGATGAGGCCTTCAAGAAAAGGGAGCTTGCGGCGCTTATCGCCTCCAAGGTGAAGACCAGGGCGATCGATCGCCGCCAGCTCGAGTGCGGATGCACGCGGCACCAGCCCGGCGCAGCAGCAGGAGGATGCGTGCATGCAAATTTCTGTGATGCGCCACTGAGTGGCATGGATGCTTGACGCCTGGGACAGCCACCGTTGTCGCTGGTGGGAAGGCCGGCGACTGGCAAACGTTCTGCTGGCAGGCACCCATGCCAGCCCCTTTCTCACCGCATTACGGCTCACACAGGTGTTCTATCACCTCGGTGAGCTTGACTCTGCGCTGACCTACGCCCTGGGTGCTGGCAGCTACTTTGACGTCAACGAGAATTCTGAGTATGTCCGCACCCTTGTTGGTGAGCAAGGAAGGGGCAGCAGATTCGGGATGCAGTTGGGGGCGGTTGTTGTCATCCCAAACGACGTCAGGCAGTGTGCTGCCTGCTGCAAGTGAGCAGCATGTGGCTCAGGTGGTGATTCAACTGAAAGTGTCGTTATGTAATGTTAACTTGGGTCGGCCAGCATTGGAACATGTACCAGCTGCATTCATGGTGCTGGATCGAGCGACGCACAGTTGCCCAAGCAATGCAGAGTGAATTTCAACAGATGAATGCCGCCGATCCTCCCTCTGGCAGCGCGCTGCCTGGACCAGTACTTTGACTCACGGCGGCGCCAGGTGGAGGGCGGCGAGGAGAGCGCTGAGGTGGACCCGCGCCTGGTGGCGGTTGTGGAGCGCATGGTGGAGACCGCGTGCCAGGCTGGCCAGTGGGAGCAGGCAGTGGGCGTGGCGCTCGAGGCGCGGCGCCTGGACATCCTCGAGGCCGTTGTCGGCCGCTGCCCCGACAAGGTACGGCGCCAACTGCGGAGCAGAGAGCGGGGTGCAGATTGCCGGGGGTGATGCGCCAGCCGCCTTGCATTTTGCTGCGTGGACGCGCAGCCAAAGACGACAGGATCTTAGCTGATCAGCAGGAGCAGCGCTGCCAATGCGTGAGAAAGCCTACTTGATTGGTGACGCTTTGCTGTGAATTGGACGCATTGCTGCATCACCAAGGTCCCCGCTCGCGATCGCCTCACTGCCCTGCTCCTGCTTGCAGGGGTCTATTCTGAGCTATGCGCTGCGGGTGACGCAGCGCCTCGTCATCAACCGCAACTTCCGCCACCAGGTGAGTTTGGGTAGTGCTGAGTGGGCAGCTGGCAGATTGAAAGAGACTGGAGAGCACAAGGGTGGTCGTGTTGGCAGAGGCGTCAGGTGGAGAATGCACAGGCTGTCCTTTGCAGTGCGCTCTGCGTTTCATGCTTGACGCATGTTGTGACCCCCCGTCACCCTCCCTCCTTTCTCACTCTCCTCCCTCCTTCTGCATGCCTGGCGGCACAGGTGCTGCGCCTGCTGGTGCGCCTGGCGGAGGAGTCCCCCTCCCCGGACTGGGTGGAGGTGTGCCAGTGCCTCATGTTCCTGGACGATGCGCCGCGCGTCGCCGCCATCCTGGGGCGCTTGGTGGAGGGCAGTGAGGATGACGCCCTGGTGGCCTATCAGGTGGGAACATAGGGCTGGCAGGGGTGGGTGGGCGCAGCCCTGCAGGAGGGGGCTGGCAGAGTGATGTGCTTGTGGCTGATTGGTACACTTGGTTTCATCAGGTCAAGCACCAGCCCTTTCTGCATCTCCCTTGACTGCAATCATGCGCCAAACGTGGCGCCACCGCACTCAACTGCGTAGGCCGCGTTCGACCTCGTGGAGAACGAGATGCAGTCGTTCCTCCAGGCCGTCCTGGATCGCCTGCCAAAGCCGCCAGAGCCCGCGACGCCCGCGCCCGTCGCCGCCGCGGCTCCGGCCGACGGCGCCGCCATGGACACCGACGGCGCCGCTGACGCCGCCGCGGACGCCAACGGCGGGGCTCCCCCTGAGGCTGCGGCCCCTTCAGTGGACCCGGCCAAGGCCGAGCGGCTGGCAAGGCTGCTCGGCATCCTGGCCGGCACCACGCCCATCGGCCTGACGCTGGAGTTCCTGTACCACAACAACCACGCTGACCTGCAGGTGGGGTGGGGGCAGACAGAGCGGACGGCCCGTGCAGGGCCTGTTGTGGGTATAGGCTAGAATCTAGCTAGTTGTGCTCGACCTTAACAGCGACCACCACGCGAACCGCCCGCCCGCCGTGGCTGCGCTGCTGCCTGCTGCAGGTTCTCAAGAACCTCAAGGCCTCGGTGGACGCGCGCGTCAGCGTGCTGCACAGCGCCACCATCCTCGCCAATGCCCTTGTGCACGCGGGTGGGTGAGGCTGGGGGCGGGGGTCGAGTGCCCAAGAGGCAGAGCAAGGTGTCTGCAACCACGGTTGCGTCAGATCTGTGCACATGATGCTGGGAGTAGCGCTCCACCGCCCTCTCGCACGGCCCCGCCCCGTCCACTCCGTTCAAACCCCTCATTAAAACCCCCCGCTTCTCCTGACAGGCACGAGCGTGGACACGTTCCTGCGCGAGAACCTGGAGTGGCTCAGCCGCGCCACAAACTGGGCCAAGTTCAGCGCCACAGCGGGGCTGGGCGTCATCCACCGCGGACAGCTGCAGCAGGGTGCGCAGGCCCTCGGGCGCATGCGTCGCAGCAGCAGGGGCTCGGGCCGCATGATGTTGCCGCCCCTGCATCTGCCGGTAGATTTTCCCAACACAACATGCCAGCCAGCGTATGCTTGTCAGCCCAGTGGTGATGCTCTCATCCTGTCCAATGTGTGGCCATCCCCGCCCCCCCTCAGGCAAGGCCCTGCTGGCGCCCTACCTGCCTCGCGACGGCGCTGGCGGCTCCCCCTACAGCGAGGGCGGTGCCCTGTACGCCCTGGGCCTCATCGCCGCCAACCACGGCGCAGGCCACAGGACCTTCCTGCTGGAGAGCCTACGCGCGGCCGGCAGCCCCGTCATCCAGCACGGCGCCTGCCTGGGGCTAGGTGAGCGCAAGGGACTGCCTTGCGGTGGCGCGGTGCACCCACCTGTTGACTTGCACGTCATGCATGTTGGCGCATGTCTAGTTTGTCAGGGCGCCACCTTCGTCGCTTCAATTGCGGCGCTGGAGCCTCCCCAAACCCTCCACCGCCGTCTCCACCCCTCTTTCTGCCAGGCCTGGCGTGCCTGGGCACGTGTGATGAGGAGGCCTTTGAGGACCTCAAGAACACGCTGTACACGGACGACGCCGTCGCGGGGGAGGTGGGCGGAGGCGGCGGGCAGGGGGAAGGGGGCCCGATGGTTGACATGCAATCGTGCGTGGTGCGGGTTAGGGTGGCGGGGGCAACTGCTTGTGGCTGATGCTGCCAGTCATGAAGGTGTGCTGAATTCCTGACCTCCATGCCCCGTCGCATGCCCCAGGCTGCCGGTCTGGCGATGGGTCTGCTGCTGTGCGGCAGCAGCAGCGACAAAGCCCAGGAGATGCTGGTGCGGGGGACCCGCAAGCGCTCAAAAAGGGGACTTGGGCCGGTGGGCTTGAGGTGGCTGTGAGCCAGGAATGTGAAGTCGTTTGTGTGCATGCCCCGATCTTGCATCACGCGCAGAGCCAGAGCATGCTGTGCTAACGCTTCGCCGTGCCACCCTCCTGTTCCCCCCACCCCCACCCCGCCCGCGTCACCCAGGCCTACGCCCACGACACGGCCCACGAGAAGATCATTCGCGGCCTGGCCCTGGGCCTGGCACTGACGGGCTACAGCCGCGAGGAGGGTGCTGACGCCCTGGTGGAGCAGATGAGCGGCGACCAGGTGGGATGCGCTCTGCTGCAGGAGTATTCTTGTATTCTACTTTGAGGATGTGGCTGAGTCAGCGCAGCTTGACACTAGACACGCCGCTCCTCCTCTTTGCCTCGCACATCAACCCTCACGCCCCACCCCACCCCTTCACCAGGACCCCATCCTGCGCTGGGGTGCGATGTTCTGCCTGGGCCTCGCGTACCGTGGCACGGCCAACAACAACGCCATCGCGCGGCTGCTGCACTGTGCCGTGACGGACGTGTCTGACGACGTACGGCGCGCGGCGGTCACCAGCCTGGGCTTTGTGCTCATGGGCAACCCCGAGCAGGTGCGAGGGGCAGAGATTCCTACTCTGGAGGGCGGGCACGGCAGGGACGTCAGTGGCGTGGCCGGGGGAGCTCCATACCCCCCAGATGATCAGGCACAGCGGGGGTGCCACACCAAACGCCGCGGACGCCGCCACTGCCGCGCCTGTTGAGGTGTTGCCCTGCAAGCACTGTTCCCTGCGCCCTCGTGCCTACCAACCCATCAACGCCCATCTCATTGTCCACGGTGCAGTGCCCGCGCATCGTGTCGCTGCTGGCGGAGTCGTTCAACCCCCACGTGCGCTACGGCGCGGCCCTGGCCGTGGGCATCGCCTGCGCCGGCAGCGGTGGGCGCGAGGCTGTGGCTCTGCTGGAGAGCATGGTGGCGGACAGCGTCGACTTTGTTCGACAGGTGGGGAAAACAGAGTGAGGTGGGGTGGGAGAAACGTGATTGTCGGGCCAGGAAGGTGTTCGAGAGAGTCAGTCAAGGCGGCCTAGGACCAGGCAGAGTGGGTGGCCCAGCGCACCCTCTCCTGGTGGTGCGTTGTGCAGATGCCACCCGCAACATGTTAGGTTCCAAGCTGCCTCACACCCACTCGCCCCTGTCTTCCTTGCCCTGGTCTCTCGCCCCATCACCCCGGCTGCGCCGTCCAGGGTGTGTACATCGCCCTGGCGCTGGTGCTGCTGCAGCAGCCCGAGGGGCGCGTGGAGGGCCTGCGCAAGAGGCTGGCCAAGGCAGTAGGGGACAAGCACGAGGAGACCATGGCGCGCATGGGGGCATCGGTCGCAACAGGTGGGGACGGGCAGGGCGGCGTTCCAGGCGGCCTCGCCAGCTGCGGTGCAGGCGCAGCACCCGGCAGCCCTCAATCTCGCCTGCTGGACGTCGTCGGCTGGCTCAGGCTCGGTCCGTATCCCAGCTGAACGACACGACCGCGCATCTCCACAGGCATCCTGGATGCAGGCGGCCGCAACGTGACGGTGGGGCTGCGCTCCCGCAGCGGCTACTTCCGGCGCACCAGTGTCGTGGGCCTTGCGCTCTTCACATACCACTGGTGAGCTGTGGTGCCGGGAGGCGGCCCGGGGCAGATGAGACAGCACCAGGGAGGCCCCAAGGGGGGGCAGGCGGCGCAGGAACGTGAGCTGAAGGGGCTGCAGGGTACAGACAGCATTTAAAAGGCCAGCGCTCCAGGCTGAACCCGACGTCACACCTCCTCTCCCGATTTCTCTCCCCCCCCCCTTTCCCCAGGTACTGGCACCCTGTTGCGCACTGCCTCTCCCTGGCGTTCACGCCCAGCGCGCTCATCGGGCTGGACGCGTCCCTGCGCACCCCCAAGCTGGAGGTCAACGTGGCGGCGCGGCCCTCGCTCTTTGCGTACCCACCGCCACTCACGGTGGAGGCCAGCAAGGAGGTGCGGCACAGGCATGGCAGGGCGACTGCTGCAGGCTGTCGCGTGCCTGCACTTGCAAGCAAAGTTCTACAGCGTGTTGCAAAGCAGCCGATGCGTGAGTGCACACGTACTTACAATACATGTGCACACACGCTTTCAGGCAGACACACGCAAATGTATACACATCAACACATCTGTGCGCATGCGCGGAGTCGAACCAAACTTGCTCACATGACACACATGTCACGCCCTTCTCAACACCATGGCATCTTCATGGCTGCTTGCTATGATGGCAACTTGGCCCGCCCCTATCCTCTCCCCACATTTGCCCCCTCTTACACACAAACACATGCGCACTCACACCACACTGCAGGTGGCCAAGGTGGAGAAGGCCGTGCTGTCCACCACCGCAAAGGCGCGCGAGAGGGCGCGCAAGAAGGAGCTGGAGAAGAAGGACAAGGAGGGCGGCGCAGCGGCGGAGCCCGCGGCCAAGGAGGGACCCAGCGCCATGGACACGGACGACAAGGCGGCGGCGGCAGCGGGGTCAGGAGCAGCGGCCAAAGAGGGCGGCGGCGCGGAGGGCGCGGTCAAGGCGGAGGGCGAGGAGGGCGGTGGTGCAGGTGCTGCCAGCGCTCCCAAGAAGCCGGACGAGCCGAGCAGCTACGTGCTGACGACGCCGTCCCGCATGACGCTGCAGCAGGTCAGGTTTGTGAGCTTCGCGCCCGACTCCCGCTTCGTGCCTGTCAAGCGCGGCGCCCCGCCGATCGGGTTTGTGGTGCTGCGCGACACGCGGCCCGGGGAGCCCGTTGACTATGCCGCCAGCGCGGCGGTCGGCGGCGTGGTGGGCGCGGCGGGCGGTGCGGCAGGGGCGGGGCCCGCAGCAGCGCCAGTGCAGGACGCGGAGCCGCCGCCCCCGGCGCCTTTCGGTGAGTGGCGACGGCTGTTGGGGGCAATCAGACGAGCAGAGCGTTGCTGCAGATTGTGTAGGGTGAATGTGTTTGTGCAGATGGTTTTGGCCCTGCGCCCATTGTGCAGGAGATCTGGCTGCAATGCGCCCGACACAAACACCAGCACTTGCGCCTCCCTCACCCACGACTCGCTGCCTGCGCCCCCGCAGAGTTCGATGGCTGAAGGTCAACGTAGGGTTTTTCATCACGCGTGGCGGCGTTCACAATGCAGCAGGCTGCTTGTCTGCGTTCCAGGGCCAGGTGTAACAAATCGTCGGTTTTTCACGGTTGGAAATGTCCATCAAGGGGCAGTGGGGTGTGTGTACACATGTCGGCAAGATAGCTGCAAGGCTATCATGAACTCAGCAGGATGCGGCAGCATCATGACAATGTGTGTCGTTGCCCTGGCTCCCCTAGATCGAAGTGCTTTGACCGACCATAGGGGTTTGACCTGATCACCAATAGGGATGTCCAATTCATCGTCGCTCACCGCATTTTGGTCATACAAAACAAACGCATCCTAAGTTATCCCGTGAGGTAGACGGCACATGTAAACGTACAGATCGTCGTACCAAAGTTCCCATATTACTTCGAATTCACGAGTCCGATCAATCATCCAACCTGCGTGCGTCGCTGAATTTCTGCCATCACCTGGCCTCTCCAAAGTGCAGCGCGTTGCCGCGGAGGATTGCAGCGGCTGCATGTGCGCTCAGCTGCGTACTGCAGCGGGCGCGTGGCCCCACCGCCAGCCGTCCTCTATGCTTATTGCCAGGCCATAGCGTCTCAGCAATCAGAGGCGGCGGCCGCGCAGGAGCGCTGCAGTGGGCCCTTGGCGGCGCATGATGCGCCGGTGAAAGGATCAGGGCCGCCTCGCAGGAATGGACGAGCAGCAGCCCAGCTACCCGCACCCACGGCCTGGCTGCAGAGGCGGCGACGCCCTCCTGCGCTTCAGCAGCCTGTGGCGCGATCCTCACGATAGCGTAGCCGTGTCATCACCTCCAGGCGTTGGTGACAATGTGGCACCGCAGCGCAGATGGGCAGCGTGCTGCCGCACAGAGGGCAAGCGACTCCTGCTGGGCCTATGGCGGAATTTCAAGGTGAGTGCAGTGCCGATTCGAAAAAAAATGAAAACCTCTGCCACAAATGCACCGGGACAGGGTGCTCCACCAGTATCCCACAGCCCCCGCCCTCTGACCCACCCCAACCAGATGCTGGCGTGGGACGTGGTGTGCCCCAGCTCCCCGGCGCGCCTGGCATGGGACGTCTGGATGATGGCGCTGGTCGCCTACTTGTGCTGCGTCGTGCCCTACGAGGTGGGCCTTTGCGCAGTGGGTCTTGACGCAGGCCTCGGCCGAGATGCGTGACAGGGGTTGTGCAGCCCCATCACCGTTAATCTCCGCCACGGTGCACTTGCAGCGCGATTTGGGAGCATGCACCAGCAAGCAGCACGCCGTACACCATTTCAAGCCCCGAACTGCGGCCCTCCCCCAGGTGGCGTTTGCTTACAGCAGCGCCGGCCTGACGGTCGTGAACGCGGTGGTTGACGCCATGTTCTGGATCGACCTGCTCATGAACTTCAGGTGGGCGGGAGGCCCAGCAGGCAGCAGAAAGGGGCGAGGCCGTTGTTGGTTTTGTGGGGATTACAGACGCTTCACAGGCCAGCCTACCGCTCCTTCGAGGGCAACTGCCTGCCTGCACGGCTCTGAAACTGTGTTTGTCTCTCGCCTCCTGCTCTGTCAAAACATCCGTCTTGATCACTTCCCTATCCCCATGCCGCCACTCACTGCACCCACCCAAGGACGGCGTTTGTTGATGAGCGTCGCCGCGTCGTGGTGGTGACCAGCCACGCCGCCGTCGCGCGCCGCTACCTGCGCGGCTGGTTTGCTGTTGACCTGGTGACGACCATGCCCTGGGACACCATGGTGATCGCACTGGTGGAGAGATGCAGCCTGGAGGATGGGGCGCCTGCACACGTGAGCAACAGCTTAAGGGGGGTGTGCGTAAAGCTGACGGCACAATCCTGGTCAACGTGTCAGTGGATCCCCAAGCCACGCTCAAAACTTTTCCCGGGTGGTTCGGCAGGTTTTCAACTGGCACTGACCGGGTGACCCAGATGAATCGCAACACCCCACCAGGGCTGCTTGCGCTCCTCTGGTGTTCGGTGACAGCGACCCATGAGCATGCCTGCGCATGCCCGCTTTGCGCCCGCCTCCCCGCCTCCCAGGCTGCGCGCGTGGTGCCGCTCATCCGGGTGCTGCGGCTGCTCAAGATAGCGCGCATGCTGCGTGTGCTCAGGCTGGGACGCTTCAGGTGCGCTGATGAGTGCCACAGGAACATTCTGGAACACGGCACAACCCCAACACACGTAATGCCAGGCTGCTGTGGGTGTCACTGCTGATCCCCGCATTACGTGCTGCCTCATAGCCATGGACTTGATCCCCGCCGCCACCACCCCCCCTTGATGGTACGCAGGCAGGGCATGATGCTGACGATGTACGTCGGCTGTGGCCTGCTGATGCTGCACCTGCTGGCCTGCACCTGGTACTTCATCGCCACGCTCGTCTCACCAGACCTGGCTGGAACATGGGTGGAGCGGGCTGGTGAGTGGGTGATCAAAAGGGTGTTGGCGTCGGTGGTTGGTTCCACACGGCCCCAGGGGACAGGGGAGGAAACCCTGTTGGCAAAGCTGCGGTTGTCAATGCTGCCGCCCTGCCACCCCGTGCGCCCAGGCTTCAAGGGCGCAGGGCCGTACGAGCTATACACGGCCTGCGTGTACTGGACAGTCTCAACGGTGGGGCGAATAGGGTTGGGATGGGCCAACCGGCAGCGCAGTTGATGGTCAAGTCTCAACCTCACAGTATGACACATATACATGATCCTGCAAAGCAAAGCTCAGCTGCCTGAACATCGCTCTAAGATTCCTGCTGTCAGGGCTGCTATCTGGCAGTCATTTCCTCCTCCCACCAACCCTCGCTGAATGCCTGCACCCTCCCCGCAACTGCCCTCCCAGCTGGGCACCGTTGGTTTTGGTGACATCGTCGCCTCCAACCCGCCAGAGATGCTGTACTCCATATTTGCCATTGTCGTGGGCATCTCCGTGTTTGCCTACACCGCGTCCAGGGTGTCGGTGCTGGCGGCCGACCTGGCAGGAGGTGCGCGTAAGGCAGATGCACGCGCCGGCTCCTGCATTGAGTTGGGATGCAAGTTGTGACAGGAGCAGCAGAAGCACTTGTTTGTGTACGGGCAGTTCAAGGCCCGTAGTTCCAAGGCCGCTCGTGTGCCCATGCAGTAGCACTGGCATCGGGCAAGGATCTCCACGCCTGCGCGTCAGTCCTGCCCCACGGACCTCCTCCCTCGCAACCCCTCGGGGCTCTTACAAGGTGACGACCATGTTGAGGCGCGGCTGGGGGAGGTGGACACGTTCCTGCGCGCATGGAACGTGCCGCTGCGGCTGGCGCTGCGGGTGCGGTCGTACCTGGCGTTTGTGCTCAAGCGCCAGGTCAGCAGGGAGCAGGCTGCCCTCGTCAACGGTGGGCGGGAGGTGGGAGAGGGCTTTCTCAGAGGGGGCGAGAGGGAGCGAATGACGGGACAGTGGCGTGTTACTTATGTTTTGCAGAGTGCCAGGGGCTTGATGCATGTGTGATGCTAGGAGTCTCTCCTTACTGGTATAGACCTGGGAACTCTAATGCAAAATGTTTGGCTATGGGTGGACGGCGCTGGTTTCATCAGCGGGCGGGCTTGCAGCAACAGCCAGAACGAGCGGCGCTCTGCTCGCGCTTTCATCCTGTGCCCCATCGACCGACCGCGTTTCGCTTGCCCCTCTTCACCACTCCCTCGCCTGCGCTGCAGAGCTGAGTGCCCCCCTGCGCACAGAGCTGGTGCTGGCGCTGCACCGTGACGCCCTGCAGGCGGTGCCGCTGCTGCTGGGGGCGCACGACCCGTTGCAGCTGGCTGATGTCGTGGCGCGCCTGCAGCTGCAAACCTTTGCACCGGGTGAGCATCAAGTGAAGGGCGCGGGCGCTGCGACGAGGCAGGCATCGGGGTGCAACTGAGGCTGGTTCGGGGGTGGTGCGTGTCAGCACCGGCACATTCCCCTTGCCCCAGTACTGCCCCGCCGGATGGCTTGCTCGGTCTTTACAAACCCAAGGCACTGGACGCCTGACCGCCGCTCCCTCTTGCAGGTGACGTCGTTTTCCGCCAGGGCGATGCTGGGGATGTTTTGTATTTTGTGGCATTTGGCAGGCTGGAGGTGCGGCACTACGAGTCGCACGCGCCCTGGCACGGCGGCAGTAGCGACAGTGATGGCAGCAGCAGCGACGCGGGCGCAAGGGGCGCTCGTCACCCAAGGCAGCGGCGGCGGCGACAGCAGCAGCAGCAGCAGCGGGGCCGGGATGGCAACACTCAATGTGCGGCGGAGGGAACAGCGGCGGCACTGCGGTCCACGGGAGAGGCCAGCGACGGCGTGCCGTTGGCGTCAAGCCTCTACCAAGGCGGTGCAACACCGCGTCACGTCACCCACGTTGATATGGCGACTTTTGACGCTGCAGCCGACAGCCCGCCGCCAACACCCATTGGCTCCAGCACCCGCGGCGAGGGCAGTGGCATTGAGCGGCGCGCCCGCAGCATGGGGCGGGCGTGGCGGCGCGTCAACCGGCTGAGTGGACGCTACCGGCGGTTGGGACACCTGACGCCTGGGCAGCATTTCGGGTGAGATTGGGATGATTGGTGATCAGGAAATTTGTGTTGAAAGCCGGCAGCAGGTGTCGTGCATACCAGGATGAGCCATGTGTGACGCAGCAATCTCATGCACCCTGTTGTCATCCGCTCCACGCCGTCCTCCCCCCTTCCCCACCCCCTCACCCACGTGTAGGGAGTACAGTGCCCTGCTGGGGGAGCCCAGGGCTGCCAGTGTTGTGGCGGTGGAGTTCTGTGAGCTGTTCGCACTCAGCAGGTGAACCTATGGGCTGTCTCCCTGTGTGTATGTGTGTGTGTGTGTGTGTGTGCGCGCGCGCGCGTGCGTACGTGCGTACGTGCGCGTGTGTGCGTGCGTGCATGCATGCATGTGTGTCAGCGTGTGGGGAGTTGTCGGAGGGCAGGGATGGTGCGGATGATGGGTCACGGCGCAACTCACGTTGTGCTTAGGTAGGCGCAATGTGCGCTCCCAGCCGTCTCATCTGCCCATTCGCACAACGAGCCCTGTTGGGCGCTGTGCAACTGAAACATTCCATTTTGGATGGCGCCATTGACAGGTCTGACCTGGAGGAGGTGGTTTCAAAATGGCCCGAGTTGGCCGCAGAGTTTGACCGCCTCGTGCAGGGCTTTGGAACCGACCGCTGCGGCTCGCCAGATTCGGGCCAGGGTTGCGCGGGAGGCAGCGACTGCAGCGGGCAGGCCAGCTCACCGAGTCAGAACGCCTGTTCCGGCGAGGACCAGCCGCACCTGATCCCGCCAGATTGGGGCAAGCCATGCAGCACTGAGGCTGGCGGGATGACGCCCGAGGCTGCTTTGTTGCCGGGCGACGGCCTTGTGAGGGTGGCGCTGTCACCAGGACCGCGGGGCGCAGTGGCTCGCGGCAGCAGTCGCAGCAACCAAGGGGTGAGCAGCACGTGTGACTGCGCCCAGGCGTCCGCCAGCGGCGCAGTAGCCGATGAGCGGTCGAGGGAGGAGGGCCAGGCCACGCAGGAAGCCAGCAGCACAACACATCGCTCCGCGCCGCGTGCCGTGCGGGAGCGTGGGCTTGACCGGCTGAGCCTGGTGGGGTGGATGCGGCCGCAGGACGGACTGCCAGCGGACACTGCGGCACCGACAGCGGGCGGCGGTCAAGGCAGTGTGGTGGAAGACCCTGGGGTGACACCACAGGTGCATGGAAGGCACGGTGGGCAGCAGCGGCAGAGGCGGCGGCTGCGTTGGCAGCAGCAGGAGGAGGAGGAGCAGCAGCAGCAGCAGCAGCAGCAGCAGCAGCAGCAGCAGCAGGAGCAGCGGCAGCAGATGCAGCAGCGGCAGCAGGAACAGCAGCAGCAGCAGCAGGAGCAGCGGCAGCAGATGCAGCAGCAGCAGCAGCAGCTGCCTGCACCAGGCGCTGCAAGCGATGCGCAGCTTCGAACCTCCAGAGAAAGCTGGAATGGGAGCCCGTGACAGGCCAGTCAAAGCTTTGCAGGTCCCAGCGGGGCTATCTACTTGGCAAGCTGCACTGGGCCACACACAAACACAAAATCGCACCATGCAATGCATCCTTGAGCCCTTAAGTGTTGTGCGCCTTGTGAGTAATCTTGGTGACCCGCACACATGCAGGTGTTCTCGTCCTTTCGGCTGCACTTGCTGCCTCACCCGCAAGGTGACATGTCGCAACGTATTGTCACATCAGTCAGTCACACCTGCATGCTGATTAAACACCGCAGGCAGACTGATAAATCTGCCAGCAATGCCTGTAACCCTCTTCATCTGCCCGTTGTGTTTGCGGAGAGTTAATTCTTTCACAGTCATAATGGCCACACCCTAAGCCACGGCTGGCTGATCTCAACCGTGGAGAAAACTTAGAGCCAAGCAGCAAGGATTGGACCGTGTGCTGTGCCTGCGTTTGCACGGCCCCCTGCCCCTCAACAAGTCAGCGGATTGCACGCATGTAAAGGTGCCCCAACTTCAGCAGTGCCTGTGGCAGGACAGCTTCTGCCTGAACAGCGCGCCTGTATTTGCGTCGAATCCCACCAATTCACCGCCATCACAGTGGGGCCGACTGCATGCAACACAAGCATCACCTACAATTGTTTGCACGGCAGGAAAGGCTGCGCTCTTGAAGCAGCTGCAAGACCTCAATGGCCAGCGAGGTGTCACGTTGCACATACCGCTGCTGAGTGGTCAGCAAGGCCAGCATGCCACAGCATGCAGACGTGACCTTTTACATGAAGGGGTGCTGATTGCAGCGAAAAAAGGCCCAGGCGCTAGAGCGCCCTGCAAGGCAGCACGCAGCTCTTGTTGACAGGCTCATCAAACAGGCATGGTTGCACCAGGCAGACAAAGCAGATGGAGCAGCAAAGAGAGCATGATCATTTGTTGGTTATTATGTTGTGAGGCCTCAATGTGGTGGTGGGGCAGCCCGCCGCTATAGCCGCCCTGAACTGTGATGCATGGGTCACAGCTGCAGCAGCAGCCGCACGAGGCCCACCAAAAACTGCGCAAACTCGTGCGCCCCGAGCTTGCTGGTGCCATACAGGCGGTCGACGAACACAATGGGCACCTCGGCCATGCGTGCGCCTGATGCGGCCGCCCTCGCCATCATCTCCATTTGGAACGCGTAGCCAGTGCAGGCACACTGCGGCAGCAGCGCCGCCAGCATGTCCCGCCGGTACAGGCGGTACGCCCCCGTCAGGTCGCTGGCCGCCAAACCCAGGAGCGTGCGCGCCAGCACGTTCGCGCCGCGACTCGTGAGCTTGCGGGCCGCGTCCCAGCCCGCGACGCCGCCGCCTGGCAGGTAGCGGCTGCCATACACAACGTCAGCGCCGGTCTCAGCCTGGCGTGCCACCATGGCAGGGATGTACTTGGGGTGGTGCGACAGGTCAGCGTCCATGAGGATGACCCAGCCGCCACTGGCGCGCCGCAGGCCATGGGCGTAGGCGCTGCCCAGGCCCAGCTTGCGGGAGCGCGGCGCCAGCAGCAAGCGGTCGGGCCCATAGGCGGCCTGCAGCGCCCGCACGACCTGCGGACCGCAATTGTGGCAGCATGTTTTTGCGAGGCGCGCAGTTTGTGCCCCGCACGCACAAAATGAGCGCAGCTCGGCACGCTTTACATGACTTGCCGCACCTGCTGCTTGCTGACGGTAGGACAGTAGCCCGAATGGTCATGGATCAATTGTGTGAATATGCGCAACCGCTTAATCCAAGTTGAGCCCCACCTCCCAGCGGCTCCCCATCATCATCCTCACATCAGCTGTGCCGTCAGGGCTGGCGTCGTCCACAATGACGATTTCGTAGTCTAGTCCTGCAGCACTACACACCTCATGGACTAACGCCACCAGCAGCGGCACGTTCTCAGCCTCGTTGTAGGTGGGCGCGACGATGCTGTAGCGTTGCGGGCGGGATGCATCGCCACCCTCCGCTGCTGATGCGGCGACCGCCGCGCCCCTCACCATGAACGCTGTGAACACAGGCCCAGCGCGATAGATGGGGATAAGCGCCTTGCAAAAAGCCTTTAAAGGCTGCAAAATGTAATCAAGCGTTGTCCACCCTGCCGGCAGATCGCTTGATCATGATATCTCAAAAATGTTGTCGGTGTTTTGCTAGTCGAGGTATTTTGATCATTTGAAACCAACCAGATGCTGCATTTGCGCATCGGGACACACTCGGGTGCCACGAGTCCGTTGTCGTGGATTTTGAAAATGCAAACGGATACGAACTGCTGTTACAATTGCAAATATCACTTTGATAAGCGTTTCAGACTTGTATTACATTGCACGGCGCTATTACTTGAACGCTAACACGGCCCGTGATCATACCGAGATCAACCACGATCGCATGACCGCCTATATCATGAAGCCGCCCGCAGTCAAGCGTAGTTTCAGGATACCTGTGCTCGCCGTGACAATCGTCGCGGCACTCAGCTTTGGCTGGCTGCTGAGCAATTCGACCAATGGTGTCGGTGCTTCATTCGCTGCAGCGCTTGAGCACGGCGCAACAGGCCGCCAGGTGCTCATGGCCTTGCGCCGCAGCTCCCAGGCCATCAAAGCCGAGTGCGCTGCATACGCAGTCCCGCCGCCGCTGCCGTTGCCAGAGGAAAAGTTGGCCCTCGGACGCGAGGCCGTCGCGCTGATCCGGGGCAAGGGCGTGCTTGCCGCGATGGGCGCCAATGAGACCATAGCAGCCTTCTTGCGGGGCTGCACGCTGGAGGAGCGTGAGCGCATTGGCTACGAGGCCCACAGCACTGCCCTGTACCTGGTGAGGCTCTGCGGAGGCACGCATGGGCGAAACTACCCCAGGCGGCAAGCATGCAGCACTGGTGTGGCTGCACACGGCATGCGACCTCCGCATGCGTGCTCGCAGGGCGAAGAGGTCGTGACCGTGCAGTCTGCTGAGGAGGAGGCTGTGCTGGCGGCGGCGCCGCTGCGCGACCTGGCGGCTCTCAACGGCATCAACATCGGCGCGGGCGGGCGCCCGGTGCACCCGACGCTGTTGATGGTCGATGCTCACCGCGGCTTTGGCAGCGAGGGGGCGGCGCTGCCATCAGCTCAGAAGGCTCCTCTGTCTACCATCATGGCATGGGCGGATGACCTGCCGTTCAAGCAGGGTGCGGGAGTCAGCAATCAGAGCATGGGAGACCATGCCTGTGGCAGCACGTGGCGATTGGGAGAGGCAGAAAGCGTGTGCGGCATTCGTGCGTGCAGCAGCGGCGCATGCATCCGCAGCTGCCGTCATTCTGGCCAGCACGGCGTAGCAAAGCGCTGCTGCGAGGCTCATTATGCACCCGCCCCCTTCCTTGGGGCACCATCCTGATGGCCTGCAGGCAGTCTGGATTACGCCATCAGCCTTCACAACCTGGAGCACTTGCCTGACCCTGTGGGTATGCTTCAGCCCCAGCTGCAGTTCTGCCACGACATGCAGTCATGATGCAGTATGTGCAGGCGTATCCCCGTAACAGGCATGCCAGCTCCACAAGGCGCCGCCGCGGCCGCCCTGTGCCTGCACATGAGAGCTCCACCCGCCTGTGACTCACCATGTGCATCCTCCTTGCGTGTGCTGCTCGTGCCAGGCGGGCGCTGTGCTGCACTACTTGAGCCTTCTCAAGCCCGGTGGCGGCCTGGGCGTCGTGATCCCCAACTGGCGATATGCATGGCCTGCAAATAATGACAACTCCCCGTGGGGCCACCGGTGGAACACAGGACCAGAGGTGAGCAGGGCCTTGCTTCGTGGAGAGGGGGGGTGCTAGCAGGAATGCGCCCCAGCCGGGCTACGCTGCGTTACACATGGGGCAGCTGGCATACGCAGGTAAATACAGTGTTTGATGCAGTGTGCGATGACAGCCCCAACTCGGCAAAACATCGCGGACCGCCAGCAGCCCCGTCACGACACTGTGTGCATCCCTGTGTTTCCTGGATCAGAGGGTCTGCCAAGACCCTCTGTTTTGCGTTCTTCCCACCTTCCCACCACCCAAACACACACTTATGCCCATATACACACACACTCACTTCTTTCGGGTCCAAATCGCACGGCTTCCCTTGCCCACAGGTTGTGTGTGAGCTCCATGCAAAGCACTGGGCCCACATCGCTGACCTGGAGGCCCTCAACACCTACCCTAAGTACCGCCTCTCCTTTGACTTCGTGCTGCGCAAGCACGGAGATTTTGTCCCCTTCAATCAATCCGCCCCTGCCTCAATAACTGGTGCACAGCTCGTGGCTGACGGAACGTTCCTGGGGCCAATCACGCGGCGCGCGCGCCGCACGCTGCTGGGTGCACGGCGCGCTCTGTCAAATGTAAATGCATGGGCTGTGCGCCGTGCGCCTGCGGCTGGGCTACCTGCATGACGCTGGCAGAGTGCAAAGCCTGCGCATGCTGAATTGCGAAGTATCATGTGTCCGCTTCTGTTGGCGTCGGATGCGCCACTGTGACTCACCTCGATGCCTGCTTTGCCGTCATGCTCACCTTCAGCCTGCAACACATGCACGCGCAAGAAAACATTATGATCCTCTGGCAAGAGGCAAATACCCTTTCACTCTGCTGCCTGTGCAAACATCAACGCCCTTGACCATGAACGAGGCAAAAACAAGCATCCCGGTACTTTTTATATGAGCTTCCTTTTCTCGGTGTCACCCACCCTGCACGCGGTTTTGAGCTTGCAAGTCAGCTGCCATCCACCTTTTGTTTGACTGGCCACGATGTCACCCATAGTGCTATTCAATGCATGCGTACGATTTTCACATAGTCACATGATGTTTCATGTGCACTGCTAACAGTGGCACTCTGCTGGCATTGCACACCAGCTACCACCAACTTTGACTTCATCAGTAGCTTTGTAAAGCTGGCAAAGCAAGAAATACGCCTGAGGCCTTCACAGGACATCGCGTTACATTGTGACGCGTTGCGCCATCTGAGTTCTTGCCGCCCAAGGGTTGATGTAGGCTGCACAGAAAGCAGCTCGCGGCGCATGCAGGCGCGCAAATGCATCGCAGCGCCTACGGACAAGCGAGAAGCTCCCACAGGAAATTTTGATTTGGGCGCATTGCAAGACATGAACAGAGCACCCCCTCGAAGTAGCAGGGGTGGGGTCATTTTGCAAGCTGCACTACATCATCAGCAAATCAGCACGTGAGGTTTGCGGCACTCGGAGGGGTCACATGGAAACGAATAGCAACAAATGATTACCCACAATGTGACACAAATGCTGCTTGGGTCACCTAGCTTGGCAAGGTGGGTGCATGAGGAATTTGATCGCTCGCCGTCGCCTTGCTGTGCAGCGACTGCTGTTGGCTTCTGTATCGCACTGTTGCTCTGGTGATATGGTGCACAGCTGCACCCCCCGCCTCAGCGACGCCCAGTCACCTTGCCCTTGCGCCCCAATCCCCTGCCACCGCGCCGCGTCTTGCGGGCCGCGCCTTCCATCTGCTGCTGCAGGCTCCTGATGCCCTCCAGCTGCGCCTGCAGCCGCCCCGCTGCCTCACGCAGGTCCCCTTGGGCCGCACCCCGCAGGGACTCGCCGCCCGCCACTGCCACAGGCGCCTCCGTCACCTCGTCACTGTCGTTGCTCCTGCCCTGAGCCATCTGAGGCCACGGCGCCACTGCGTCGCCCCACTCGAGACCACCCACTGGCAGTAAGTCCGCCGGTGCGGCCTTGGACTCTGCGCTGGCGACAAGCGCCGCAGCGTCCATCTCAGTGCTCAGCTGCTCAAAAGTGGACAGCGACGGCACGGCCCCGTCCTCGGCCTCGGCCAAGCCACCTGCGTGTGCTGGCGGCAATACCACCTCGCCAGCACAGGGCTCCGCCCACGGCTCCTCCGCAGACATGAGTGTGTTGAACTGCCCCGCAAGCCCAGCAGCACCCAGGGGTCCCCCGCCTGTCCATCACGTCAGCGGCGGGCAGCAGCGGGCTGTCATCCCAGCCCAGCACCTCAAGCGCCGGCGGCACAGTAGCAGCATGCGATGCCTCCGCCGCAGGCAAGTCATGTGAAAAGCCATCGCTGAGCGCCAACGAGTGCTGCTCAGAAATCGCGCCAGCACCCTGGGGCGGCACGTGCTCTGGGGGCATCCACGCGTCCGGCGCTGCCGCCGCCGGCAGCTGCCAAGCGGACGTCGCAGTGGGCTGTGTCGCGGCAGGCTCCTGGGCTGGGCCCTGCTGCTGCTGCTGCAGTGATCCCTGCAGCCAGAATTCCCCGTTAGACGAGGAAGATTGGTAAAAGGGCTGCAAACCCATATTTGCCTGCTGATCATACACGCCTTGGTTCGTATGCCCAGCCGCCGCCGCCGCCGCAGCGCTGTTCTGGTCCTGGCGATACCATTCACCGCTGGATTCATAACCACCCGCGCCGCCGTCAATGTAGCCGCCCTGCCAATCGGCATCCCACACTGTGGCCGGCCAATAGGCTGTCAACGGTTCAAGTGCAGCGGCTGCAGAGCCGCCGCCAAACACCGCCTCATCGTCCTCGTCGGCGCGCGTGTCGCGGGCGTCCCGCAGCGAAAAGAAGGCGTTGTAGGGCGTGTCTATGACCTGGTCTGCGCCACCTGGGAGGTGGGTCGAAACGGCAAGGCCTGACAATGTGTGGGTGGTGATTGGCAACAAATTGCACCTGGCAGGTGTGGTCTCATCCAGTTAATGCAAGTGCCAGACCTGCTGTGTGTGCACAGGCCCGTCACCCTGACCTGCCCTAAACAAAGGCCCCACTTCTTGCGCTCCCCGCTGTGTCCTTTGATGACGGCCCACCCTGCAGGGTCTCTGGCGACCACCAGTCGCGGTTGTCGCGCTCCCACTTGCGGCGCTGGATCAGGTCACGGCGGTCCCTGCGGCAGTGGGGCGCAGCAGCCCGCAAACGTCTTGCGACACAGGGTTGGCCATGGGGGTGAGGCCAGATCGCTGGGCAGCACGCTGCGGTGCCCTCAAGGCGTGGCTTGTGCCTCCATGCCCTGCCGTGCGCACGCCCGCAGAGCTCACAGTGCAGTCTGGCCCATGCTTCGTCCGCCTTGCGCAGCACCGCGCCCCCTGCAAGCTGCCGCCCCCTAAAAGCAGCCGTTGCCAAGATCGCTGCCTGCTGGCCCCGTCTCGCAGAAGCTTCGTGCCCCGCACCTCTTGGCCTTGTCTCGCGGCCTCTCAAAGCGCTCCCGCGCCCTGAGCTCCTGCCTGAGGCCGGCCTCCCTGTACAGGTCCTGGTAGCGTCGCACCTTCGAGGCCGGCGAGTGAGGCGAGGAAAGGTGAAAGCATGAGAGTGGCAGGACGGCAACAAAGCAGCAACACGCATTGCGGCAACATGCGGTTTGATGGCGATACAGGCGGCTGGCGTGGCTATCTTGCAGGCGCTCAGTCTGCTCTGCGGCGGTTGTTGTGTACTCGGGGACCAAGGGGAGGTGCGGCTGCCGCAGTGCCTGATCTATTGCACTGTGGGCCTTTACCATACGAGGGGCGCCTGATGCTGCGCTGCAACATCAAATCGGGTCCACGCTCTCCCTGCCGTTAACGCCGGTTGCAGGGTGTCGCCCACCATCTTGTCTTCCAAGCGCGGGTCACAGGCATCGCGGCTGCCCTCAAGCGGCGCGTACACCTCAAAAGCAAACGACTCGCCACAACTGCCCTTTCCCCGATGCCGGCGCTGCGCGCTGCCCCGGTGGGAGGCGCAGACGGCGAGGCGGCCGCGATTGGGGGCCAGCGAGTGCCCTGGGCTGCCCCCGGCCACCTGCGCTTGCCAAGTCAGCAAGAAGCGAAGGTAAAGGAGGCTAAAAGTGCTGGCGCCCCAATTTTCTTCATGCAAGGTGGAACCATGGTCGCTTTGCTGCGACGCCCATTCATGCGTTTCGCCCTTGGAAGTATGACGTCCCTGCACATGTGTCGGCCCCCAGCCGCCGCTGCTCATCCTTCGCGGCGCAGGAAACTCACCCCTGTTGCCGATCCTAGAGTGTACATGGTTGTCAAGGGCACAACTGGAGGCGCTGTATATTGTTCGGGTGGCTATATGCAGGCCGTTACGTCTCGGTGAACTGCCGTGTAGATCGGCAAGGCTATTCTGTTCAATTTCTTGAAGCAGCCGTGCCAGCAGACCTTTGTCACCTTGATGTTTGCCAAGACCGGAGCAAAGTCCGCAAGGAAACAGGTGGGCAGGGGGAAGCTCGGGCGAACCTGCCTTCCCGAGACATTTGTTCAGATAGGAAACTGCATTCATTTGCCGCGCAGTCGTTCTCGCATCACGTTGGTTGAAATTTCTGCCCCGAAGCCAGCAGCACAGCTTGGCACGGCCACCGCAGACACAGATCTGTCACACACAACTCCACGACCGACTCCACCGTTCATCGTTGCAAGGTTACTCGCTGTGCCATGCTGTACCAGGTGCTGTGCCTCGCGCGGCCCATGGCCGCCGGGGAGCTCAGTGCGATGATGCAAAAGGTCGGCAGCACGGTCTACAACGCAGGCGGCGTGGTCACCGATGTCAAGTCTTACGGCAAGCAGTACCTGGCCTACAAGATCCGCGGGGTGCACGGCAAATTCGACCAGGTGCGCTTACCTGTAATGTGATCTGGGCCACGACGCCTCTATGCCCCTGATCGCGTGCTCCGGTGCAAATTTGTTCAGCCTGTCTCGGCAGTGCGGCTTCGGTGCCTGTTGGTCGCCCTCAGCTCGCAGGCGGCGGCTGCGTTATGCTGCGCAGCCGGCGGCTGCAGTGCATTCGTGACCCGCCCCACCTCCCTCCATTGGCCCCAACCTCTCTGTCCAGGCCAACATCTGGGAATTGGAGTTTGCAGTGTCGCCCGACGCTCTTAAACAGATAAATCGCGAGCTACGCATCGACGAGTCCGTGCTGCGCTACGTGATCGTGCGGCGTGACGCCTTGCCCAAGCTGCCGCCCGCCCGCAAGATGTTCGACGCAGACCCCCAGTTTGGCCATCTCCTGCGGAGCCCAAAACTCCCCGGCGCCATCCCTATCCCTCTAGCTGCCACTGGGGGCGCGTCTGCCCCGTGAGACACCGACGGCCCCAGCACCTCCATCCTCTGCAGCCCAGCTGGCGCCTGAGACGCCACCTCTCTACCTCGCCTTGTATTCTTCTCAACCGTCAATGTGTACCACTTCACTTCAGTCCCAGTTGTGCAACCTGCATCATCCACAGGTGAGTGCGTGACCGAATCCAGCCTTGACTGTGATTGTTGGTGTGGTGCAATTGCACATATGTCAGCTGGTTGTTTATTGCCCTCTTTCGTATCTCTCTGCTACTGCGGACGCGAACGATGTCACAACTGTTATCCCTGGCTGAAGTCACCAAGGCCGGTGCCTTCCTGTTGACACTTTTGAATACTGACGCGTCTTGTCCCCTTCAGGGGGCTGCGTGATGTGCTTGGAGTTTGAATGTTGTTGGCTGCGTTCCTGGGTGTGCCCGCGCCCGCCGGTGAAGAAATATTATTTTTATCAAGCTCAACAGGCCGCAATGTTCACCCCATCGCGGGTGTTCGTGTGTCGATACTCCGCTGTTCTGAGGCAACAAAGGGCAAGGCATGGGTTTGCGCAGAGTGTCAGCCGGTGTGCGTGTGGGTGTTTGTGTGAGCGCGCATGAGAGGGATTGTGTTTGCAAGCTGCGCTGTCAGGAGTTGGCGAGGCGTGGGGGATGAAACCAAGCATTCTTTAGTCGGATTCCTTTTGAGCGTGCGGCGCTACAGCGTCGCGCGACTGATACCTCGCTTTACTCTGACACGCCCCATCACGGTTGAAACCCTACCATGCACTTGCACAACGCTTGACTGACGTCTCCGTCGGTCCATCCGCTTACCCCATTCCTTCAGGAATTCCTGTCCTGCAGCGCTGGCTGCCTCCTTACCGGCTGTCGGCCTTTCTCCCCATGTGCCAGGCGCCCAAACTTTGCAACCCCCAGCTGAGACATGCTGTCACTGCTCTCCCTGCTACATGCAGGGGGTGTAACATAATGAGAGTGTAATGATTACGATGGTGTTGATGATCGTGATTGCGAACCAGATTCTACAGAACATTGAAGTGATTTTGAACCCTGCAAAAGCATCAATTGAGCGGCGGACCAACCCAATGCCAGCGCGCTTGCTTTTGGACAGGGCTCTCGATGATTCATAAATGACGAACAGCATCGATGAGGCAAATAATCTGGACAACTCATGACACACACGATCACATTTGCACGTTGTTGCAGTTGGGCAGAAATGACATCAGCATGTTACAGACAAAGCCACAAAACCCACCAAAGAAGTTCAGTTTCTCAAGCCTCCCAACAGCACTGTGGTTCAGGCTTAGGGCAGCCACAAACATCCACGCCTCCAATGAGTGGCTATCCATTAGCGGCGCCCTGCCCGGCGCCCGCCCTGGCCAGGTGCTGCCCCGGGCCGCACGCCACCATGCAGCCGTAACCCGCGCCCGCCAGCAGCTCAGCCGCGGCCACGCAGCTGGCGTCCAGGCTGACCTGCTGCATGTTAGCCATGCGCATCAGCTGCAGCAGCGCCTCCCTCTCGTCCTGCACATCATGCTCCGAGTACTCCTCCGCCACGCGCTCCTCATACGGGCGCCGCCGAAGGTTGGCTGCTGCGGATGCCTCGGCAGCGCACACTCGAATGACCCTCGTCACGTGCGAGTCCAGCGCAGGATCACTAGCGCGGATAGCTGGCAGCCCCAGCCGCCGCAGCGCCGTAAGCTCGGTGAGCCACGCGGGCAAACGCCAGCTGCCGGTGGACGGCATGGCCCATCCCAGCCGCAGCTCCTCCAGCTGCGTGAGGCCGCGCAGCGCCTCGGGCGCAAACGTGTTGTCTGGTGGGTGCACCCAGCAGGACGCCGGCGCAAGCGCCGTCTCCGACAGCACGAGCCGCCGCAGCGACGGCGCGAGCGGAGCGAGCCAGGGGGCGGCCTGCCTGGCGCCCCTGCAGACGTGTAGCTCCAGACAACTGAGCGTGGTCAGGCTGCTGAGCAGGTCGGGCGCCTCGCTGACGGCGCGACGCGGAGCGCAAGGGCGCAGGCACATGTTGTGTGCAGAGACTCGCAGCTCGCGCAGCTGGCGCAGCGCAGTAAGGGGGGTGAGCACTTGGTGTGGGCGCGCCCAGGTGAACGAGTGCACCTGGCGAGGCTGCCCCCAGTCAGGCTGCTCGCAGCTGGACGGCGTCGCAAAGCGCAGAAGGGTGAGGCTGGTGAGGTTCGTGAGGCACGGCCAGAGGTGGTCGATGCCCCTCCAATGGCATCTGGGAACATAGTGGAATACCAAAGGGAGGTAGAGTTCAAATTGCATGTGATGCAGATTATTGCTCGTGTGTAGATGCAGGTGTGAACTTGCATCATCGCAGCTCCATGCTGGACCAATTGCAGTGAGCAAGTGCACAGTTTGCGATGGTCAGGTCAGGGTCTGTGACAATCGCCTGAGCCACCCGCGCATGGCTAGCAGGACGCTCGCTGCCTAGCCTCCCTCAATGTATTCCCTTGAATATCCTAGCCTTTCTGGCACGCCCTGCACCCCCCCTTTGCTCGCCCCCCTTGCCCCCCCCCCTTTGCGTCTCCCCCATCGCGTTCCCGCTCTCATCCTCTGTCACATTGTTGATGGTTTAGGTCATGATAGGATTTGTTCGTGCAGGTGCATGACAAGCACACCGTGACCTCGCTCACCCACCCGCCCTGCCAGCCAGTCACCCACCTGATCTCGTAGTCCAGGGACTGCAGGGTGGGCACCGCCTCCCCCAGGGTGAGCAGCCAAGCGTAGTCCCAGTGCTCCCACACACATCGTGTCAAACGCAGGGCCCTGAGGCCCGTAAGCCGTGCCAGGGCACCCCCCGGCAGCAGGTCGAACTCGCGTTCAAACCCGACCAGGTTCAGCTCCGCCAGGTGGCCCAGGTGCACATACAGCTGCCCTTGCTGCGGCAGCACCATACCCTCCTGGCCCTCCGAGCCAGCAAACAGCGTCAACGAGCGCAGTGCCGGCAGCTCGCTTGCGGCCGCGAGAAGGTCTTCAGCGCCGCCAGGCACAACCGGCGCAGCCAGGCGTGCAAGGGCTGAGAAGGACCGCACTGGCAATGCAGCACGCAGAAGCTCCGCGGCCGGGGCCCCAGGCGGGAGGCCGTGCCAGCGCTGGCGGCGCAGCAGGCCCATCGCCTCGCGGGTGTGCCACCCGCACGACCCACTGGCGCCGGCCAGGGCGTCCAGGGCTGTCAGCGCCGTCAGCCACGCCAGTGACCGCGGCGCCGCAAGCGCCACCAGCGCCGGCAGCGCCAGCGCCCGTAGCTGCGTGGCGCCCGCCCAGAAGCACCCGTCGCCGCCGTCGCCCCCGCCACCGCCGTCCTCGCCGCTGCTGCGGCGCACGCGGCAAGCAGCGCCCAGCCAAGCCGCCGCGGCCGGCGGCGCAGCACCGCCCAGGGCGTCGCAGGGCTCCAGGTGGGTCCACCGTAGCGTGAGGCTGCGCAGCGCCGCGCAGCGCGGCAGCGCCTCGGCCAGCTGGGCGCAGCAGGGCGGCACCTCGGACAGCGTCAGCTCCGCCAACTCAGGCAGCTGCAGCAGCGCGGCCGCCACGCTGTGCAGTGGGAGGCCCGTGGACCATGGCGGCACACTCGCAGTGCACTCTGCGGGTGGCGCTGCGGCCAGGACCAGGCGCGACACAGCCGCCAGCGCCGGCGGCAGCCTTCGGGTGGTGCCGTCGTCGCGGGCGCGGCCAGCAAGGGCCGCCAGGTCAGCAGCCGCGATTGTCAGGCTGCGCAGCGGCGGGGGCCCAAGACGGGCCGGAGCGAGTGCCAAGAACCGGCTCAGGCAGCCGTCGGCGCTGCTAGTGGTTCCTGCCGGGTCTGCGTCAATGTGCAAGCTCCTGAGCCGTGCCATCTCCAGGGCGGCGGCGGCGCCGCTCATCAGCCGGCGCTGCCGCCGCATCGGCGACGCGTCCTGGCGCGCACTGGATGGCCGATGGACGATGCGGGTGGCCTGGGTCGCGGTGACGCCCTGCACTGCCGCGCGCAGCCGTCTTGAAACCAGCGCAACAGGCCCCAGGCGGGACAGTGCCATGCGCCCGTCAGGGCAGGCGACGATGCACTGCAGTATGTGAGCGAGCTCCGCGTTTCCTAAAGCAGCCAAGGGGTCTTCGTTGGCCTCCATGCTGGCGTTTACCGTACGGTGCGGGATTCGTAACTTCAGTTGCTTGCTCAGCGCGCGTGTCAAACACTGAAGACACGGGCGTGGTGGTATTCGTTGGATGAAATTTGACTGTGAAATCATCCTGTCAAGGTGAAGTGGCTGTAGTAGTTGGTGGTCGCGCACACGTGGAAGCTGCTGCGGAGCGCCCATGCGGCAGCTGGCCGCCCGCAGCTGGACGGGGACCACAAAATGCCAAGCAATTGCATGTCAAGGGCTGTATACAATTGCCTGCCCCACCGCGTGCGCCTCACAATCCGTGGCTGCTCTGTGCATGCAGTCTCGTCTCTGCAAGCACGTGTGCACTCGCTGTGTGTACTGGCAGAGCTCTACCTTGCATGTTCCTACCTACCTGTTGCATGGACAGGCGTCTCCGCCATCGCCTGATGGCAAGGCGCAGAAGTGCAAGCCTTCATGGAAGGGTGTTATAGAGGAGAACGGGGCAAGGGGACCGATGGCGTGCAGCGCGTGATGTGCTGCAGCCCTGCAGGCAGGTGTTGGGCACGACAAAAAACTTTGAGGTGAGCAGGTATAACGCGTTTGGACCAAATCCCGGCGGGTTTCTTGGTGGGCTGTGGCTTGCCTTATCATATTCGCTCCGCGCGTACTGGTCAGGGCTGTGGTCCGGGCAGCCGGCGGCTGTACCGCAGTCCCGCACTGGGCGCAGCTCAGGTTGGGCCTGCATTGTTGGTGATGTGTCTGCACATGTCGCCCCAATCTCAATCCATCCAAGTGAAAACACACAACGGGACAGCCCAACGCTTGCAGCACTGCTCTGTACGATTTGTCGCGAGCGCGCCGTCACCCAAAGACCAGGCACGTCACCTGAACTCGGGCAGGCAGCACATTTGTGTGCTGGAGCGGCACTGCTATGCATCCGCCGTCGACAATCAGCCTATGCCGCGGTATTCTTTCACGCAGACACCTACTGTGAGCACGAGCAGCAAAGGACACGTGCAAAACGCGTTTGCCGCCATCACAGCAGTCTGGTTCTTAGCAGCGCTCAAAGACACACCAGATCGACTTCAAATCGCGCTTACAATCACAAACCTTATCAGCCGAGATCACAACGAGAAGCGCGGTCCAACCTGCATGGCGAGCGGCCTCCTCGCTCGATCTGTTGTGACGGCGGCCTGTACAGGGCAGCCCCTAATCAGAGGGATTGCCACGTGAGCTGGCCGCGCAAAAGCAGATCGGCGGCGCACTTTTGGCGGGCAACGGGGCGGGATGTCGCGAGCGAGCGTGCCCTTGGGAGAAGTATTGGCAAGGCGAAAGCAACCCCAAAGCTGCCTGTAGTGCCTAACCTCTGCCTGACGCTCCCCGCAGCTTTGTCCTGGCCCGCCACCGCTGCGCTGACGTGCGCGACCTGCTGTGGGGCGCTGCGGGTGAGAACCCCAAAGGGAAGAAGCACCACCCCTCACACCACAGCCACCCCGGTAGTCATGGCGATGGCCACGGCCATGGCCACGGCGCGCAGCGTGCCGCCGAGTTGCGGGGCGGCGCGGCACTCAGCACACGTGAGGCGGTGGCGCGCTGCGCCTCGCGGTTGACTTTCTCGCTCGCGCCTGGCACCCCCACCACGTACGCCGGCGCGCTCGAACCCAGCAGCCAGGTGAGCGCACACCCGCTGGTCGCAGGCGCGCGCATAGGATTTGCTACATGCATGCATCGCCATGCAAGTACAGGTGTGTGCTCCGCCGCTCGCACGATGGCGGCCCTGGGCCGCGCTTCACTTTCCGTCGAATGCAGCAATGCAACACTTCCCCATGGGCCCCCCACGCTCACCCCTATTACCTCCCCCGTGCACCAGGCGCGCGTTGTGACTGAGCCGCACCCCCCCTTTCGGGTTGTGCACGTCAACCGTGCGTGGGAGCAGCTGTGCCTGTGGCGGGCGTCCGACGTGCTGGGGCAGACGCTGGCCGTCCTGCAGGGCCCAGACACAGACCCCCAGGCGCTGGCGCAGGTCAGGGGCGCCGCGCTAAACTGCGCCCGCACGCAGGTCACCTGCGTCAACTACAGGTGAACGTCACCAATACATGGAGTGGGGTGTGGGGTTCCAAAGGTCGCGCGTTTGACGAATCGGGTGCGGGGCTCGATGCATGTGGGGCTCGTCTGAGCAGAAAAGGCCAGACACTCATCTGTAGCCTCCCCTGAAATGCAACAGCTCAAAGTCCAGCGCCGGCGCTGCACCACCGGGAGCCCTGCCAATGACCTGCCGCTCCCTTACGCACGCTGCACCCAGGAGGGACGGCTCCAAGTTCCTGAACCGCCTGCAGGTGTCACCCCTCTATGGCAGGGACGGCCGCGTGTCGCACCTCCTGGGGGTGCTTACGCCTGAAGACGTCCCGGGGGCGGCCTGCCTGGCGGCCAGGCGTGCAGTCGCCGGCGCCCAAGTGCAGGCTGAGGGTGGCAGCCGTGTCGACGGCGTGTCCGTCACAGTCTTGGAGGCTAGGAAACAGCAGGCTGAAGCTGCGGCTGGCGCAGCCCGCGCATGAGATGGGCGTTGATGTGACGTGGCTGTGTGTGTTGGACATGTGACGTCGGCAGGGCATGTCTACATGCTTCTAACCTCCCCCAAAGAGCATGGGGGCGGCCTGCAGCCAAGAACTTCCTTTTTCTTGGCTCTCGTGGGATGCGTGCAAAGTTGCTGCAGTTGAGTTGGACCCAGCAGCTTGCCTGCAAATCGCACTGGCGACGCCTTCAATCCCGCTTGTGACGGGCCGCTGAGAATCCTGATGCCGACTCGATCAATTATTCAGACACGTGGGCATGACTTGCCGCAACAGACACCGCCTGCTCACCGGCGTAGCTGGCTCACTTTAGGCCATGCGCATCGACACAGTTGAGGTCGTCGCATGGCTGCGACTGCCGTGGGCCTTTCTACCCCGCACCCTTCACCCTGCCCGCGTACCCTGCGCAGTGAGTGCGTTGCACCCTGTGATGGGGGCGCCGTCACTACTTCTCCTCCAGCTATCGCGCCTCTCCCAACATCAGTGCTGTGCGGTGAAAAGCTTGGCTCCCTCCATCCCGCACCTGTGAACGTTGCAGAGTTGCCGACGGCTCCAGGGCCACGGCCAGCCTTGATGCCGCACATCGTGCCATGAGTGCTGAACCGCATGCTGAGGCAGAGGGGCGTGCAAGCAGCGGGCATGATCTGGCACAGCTCCTTGGCCTACCTGCCTGTCCACAGGCTCCCCTCAGGCCATATCTTTGGCCAGCACCGCTCCTGCCGCCGTTGAATGCGACTCTACGTTCCTCATCCCGTGGAGCTGCTTGGCCGTGCATTATGCGGTGAATCGTGTGATGCCTTAGTGTGAGACCGCGTTGCCACCAAGGTGCCTCCAGCCCTGGCTTTAGCCCCGCAGACTGTGGCTGGCTCCCACAAACCCAATATTGTGCTGAGCAGCCCGTTCACAACCTGATGGCGTGCGGGCATAGTCGGCCCCCGCCACTCATGAAATGATATTTTGATGAAGCACCCACCGGCACTCGATGTTTTCTGATCCAGCCCCACAGCATGACGCAGCCAACAATGGGGCTGGCAGACAGATACGTATTGTCACACAACTCCTTGGACCCAACCCCCCTTCTGGCCGACGACCTCAACAAAGAAACACACCGAGGCGCAGTGCGTAATTGTGCCGTGCATTCTTGCGCACACGTCGACGGCGACGTTCCAACTTGGGGCTGTCGGCGCGCAGCCACAAGTACGATTATGACAAGATTGAAGTGCGCCATCAAGTGTAGCTCAATGCAATTCGCGTTTGCTGCTGGGCACGAAGTCTGTTGATTGCACCCCAGCAAGGAGGCCCCGTGACGAGGATAGCAAGCAAATGCGAACACGTCTATCCCACAGCCGATCCTCAGAAATCTATCAGCAAGAAAGGATGGTGCAGCAATGGCTTTACAATATACCAGAGCCGCCCCCTCACAGGCCAGGCCGTCAGCAGCCTCCCGCCACGCAGCATGTCGCTCTGGGCCGGGGTTGTGAGCAGGGCGCGGGGGCGCGGGATGCCAGCCTGGCGTGCGTTACTCTGCAAAGTCATGTGACGACACCAGGTACCCCGGCATCTTGATCCTCAGGAACCCCATCACGGCGATGTAGGCGGAAACGCACATGAAGCCGCCCCTGGGTGCAGGGTGGGGTTGGTGGGGAGAAAGCCACGGCCGGGGGCAGGTCACAGAGTAATGGGGTGCCTCAACTGGCAGGCCCCCATGCATCGCTGCCAATCCGCGCTGATGCTCACAAGCCTATGAGTATCTTCCGGTACTTTGTCTCCAGGTTTTGGCGATGGGCCACGTCCAGCAT